GAATCATGAAGAGAGATTGAAGGCACATGTCAGTGACAGCTTTGACGATATTTCAAGATAAAAGGCATTTGAAGAATCAGGATTATGATGAGTGTGTGCCGCCACTACTCCTTGAAGGTGTTTCGAAGCCATAGTACAATCCACAGCGAGGCAGGTGTGGCCTCAACATTTATGGCACGTGTTCCCACGCTTATTACACCCATCTTGAAGTGTCCCTTTGATTTCACCCAACAGGGTTCAGCTGTAAGACCCGCACGGATTTCTTTGTTAGCGGACTTTGTGCCCGTGAAGTGCCAAAGCAGTTCCCAGCTCAGAGGCGAGTTCGAGCCTGGCGATCGAAGGCTCACCTGTCCAGCGCCCAGCTGGGTCTGAGCAGGGAATGGGTGTGTACACTTCATACATGGGGGCCGGGGTAAAGCGTGATCAGGCAGCAAGGCACCAAGTTGCAACTGCATGGAGTGAATGTGTTTGGCGTTCCACGCATGTTTGAATACATCAACATGATCGACACCAATTGCTTTTGAGCGTGAAAGGAACCGGGAAGCCCAGGGGTTGCTCTTCAGGTCCTACGTCTTCCTTGTTGGAGATTATCTGACACAAGTTCCTCTTTTGCCAACTTCAAGTGAGCTTTCTTTGAGCATTGTGATGCTGCGGGGAGGGACACGGGGAGCTTTGTTGAAAGCGGGATACAGGCAGCTCTGGTTTTGAGCAGTGTTAAGAAGACAAGATGCTGGCAATTCAAGCTTGCTTTTGTCACTGGCTGTTGCAAAGCCCCCATCAATCTTGAAGTATCGATATCAATTAACCCTTGTCTGCCTATAATTTGACAGAGTTTGCCGGATGTTTTACTTTCAACAAAATTTTACTAGGTTTGTTTCTGGTGGTCAACCCCTGGCGAGCGCAAAGTTGTTCTGCGGCGAGCAATTTTATCCCAGAGCCCGCAGCAGGCAATCTTGGCCTTCATGTACCACCAATGAATGCAACCATCGCCTACATGTTTTTTTGTTGGATCCCTTGATTTCTGCATTTACTTAGTCAAATTTACTTGTGAGGTTACGTACTTTTGCCCCGGCACTTTCTAGGTTCACATGGAGCCTGAGGGAACATCTTTCCCTGGGCCGCTTGTTGACGTTTCGGCGATCGCCGTGAGGCCCCGGCGAACACAGTGATACCTCAGGCAACAGGGGGCGAGCGGGTAAGAGTGCGCGAGCCAATAAGGCTTTGTCAAACCAAGCAAGTTGGACCCTTTTCCCAAGCACTCCTTGGCGGATTCGCCTACTAGATTTGCAAGCACTTGTTGCTTGTTTGGCGAGTCTGGGGTTTGCAGACAGCCTCAGAAAGAAACCAGAAAATGTTGGAAGGTTTCCTGCGTCGCTTTGGAGCGGACTAGTACACTTTGTTTCTCGGCCGAGGTCGAAGGACTGTCGCTCGTTTGCGGCCGGGTGGTAAAAATCGATTTTCGGCCTTGCGAAGCTTCGCCCCGTTCAAAGCTTCGCGCCCGCTGGTTCCCCGCTCGTTCCCCGCTCTCGAAGGGGATGCCTCGCCTTTCGCAGGGCCCGGTGCGGTACCTCAAGGGCATGCCGGAGGGCCCGCAGCTCACCTCCTGGGACTGGGACGACAAGGCGCTTTCGGATGGGGGTGTCAAGTGGAAATGGGTTGCGTCTCAAGGGGCTTGCATCGTTATTTGAAGGTGCCCAAGACTTAACAAATAGGTTACAGGAGTGTTGGGATCATACTAGCGTGCCCGCCCCTGCAAGGGACTTCGGCTTTCAGTAGGGGATCGACGATTTGCATGAAAACTGGGGTATTTGGAGCAGGCTGAAGGGCTGGACCGCTGCTAGCCCCCAACCCCCACATGCTCCGGAACCAGAAATTCAGTCGCGGCTTTGGCTGCAAATTCGGATCAACATTTGATGACATGTTGGCATTTGTTTGTTCATGCCATGATGGTGCCAGAAGATATGCCATTCCTACCCACAGGAGTTGAACCCATCTCAGGGTTGTGCGGGCTTTTAACAGTGATAAAGAAACAGCCTATCTCGCTCGCATGCAGGCGTTGGGAATGCGAGCGGTGGGGTGCCTTAGACACAGTGATTCGAAGTTTTGGCCATTAGACATGCAGCGTCCTAGTTCACCTGTTGCCAAGATTGTGGGAAGGCAAGGACACCTTGGGTCGGAGAAGCGATCCAGGTAAAGCAGTGATTTCAAGGTGTCCCTTGGTTACCCATTTACTGAGAAGACAGTCTGAGGACACTGCTGCGGCGTCAATCACGTGCCCAGTTTTTCATCCTTCACGATGGCGAGTTTCTTTGCCAGAGCACCGGCAGATCTGTTTGCGATTCCAGTTACGTACTGCATATCCTGCGCTCCCTTCCCAGAGGACAGCGCAGGGTCACCGAATTCGTTTTAGCTCGGTCTTTGTGGGAATGTGTTCCCTTGGATAGTTGGCATTGTCAATATTTCGAACCCCAAGGCACGTGACACGGACGACGGATCTTCAGACGAGATTGTTTTATCACTAGGGGCAACTGACAAAGCATGCTTGGATGCACAAGAAATGACTCATTCTACTTGGTTGGCTTCTAGACTGTCCCAGGGCCTAAACTCCTGTCTGATGTTTGGGCTCGCGAGACCCTGGAATAAGCAGGTAGCACTCCGAGGGAAGTTAGTGGGCGAAAGACAGCGCACCTTTGCAGGGGGCTTACGCTAATCTGCACTGACTCACGGTGCAAACTCGAATACTTTGACTCTCCAAAGCAAAAGCACCACTTCACCTCACAGGCAAGTCACTTCACCCCACTGGGCGCGTGGGACGTCGGATCCAAGGACTCGCCGAGGCCGTCGCAGGACTCGCCCAGCGGGAAGGCAGGGGGCTGCCTTCATTTTGGTGCGCCTGGCCCCTCCTGGCCCAAGACCGGAACCCGCTGCTTCGGCAAGTCTTGTTTTGAAGATTTCTGTGTTGCTTCAACGCCTTCCTTTCAACGGGAGGCCCAACGTCTCAAAGCGCGAAGCCCCAACCGGAGGGGCCGAGTGTATTGAGCCAACGCCCCAGGCCGGTCAGGCCAGTGCGCGCTTCGGTGTGCTGCCACCTCCCAAGGCTCGCCGAAGCGGCCGTCGGATGAGTTCCTAACCAAGTCGTTCGTCCTTAAAAGGAGCCCAAAGTCTTAAGCTGAATAGTGCAAGTACATTGGAAGTTGTGGGGTTTGGGGATCTCCTCACCCGACTTTTTGAAGCTGCAAGCCCTAGGCACTGTTGGAACCTTTAGGACCTCCGTGAACGGGTCTTGTTGGGGTCCTAAGATTTTTGAGAACAGAGGAGAGTGTATGAGCATGCTGGTGAACGGGTTGACCATCCGGGTGCACGGGCGGTTGAGAATTACGAACCCCTTTTTGAGGGGTCCCAAGAAGAAGGGGTTGGCCAACATGTCACCAAAAAATATCCCCAAAGAGGCCCTACTGTAATTGAAACCCCCGACTGGCAACGTCCCTGAGGCCGACGGTAGTATTGGAGTACTTGGGCCATGGCGCTTTGATGTGAGTTGAAGATCGTAGAACTATACAGTCTCACGTTGACTCCGGGACCTACACCCACTGTTTCCGCCTTTTTGCCTGAATAATTCCAGGATCAGTGACCGTGGATGGTCTTGGCAGCGTATGTGCAAATCTCATGCTTTTTGTTGCCCCCCCCAACCCCCTTCCCCCCAACATGCGACACAATCAAATGCTGGCCAACATGCAAAGAAGCTCATGGTCGTTCGTGTGCTCGGCACCTTTTAGTGGGTGCGGTTCTACTACGGTACTCGCTTGGCAAATGCGAATCTTTGCAATAGCTATCTTGGTAGAACCAAATGTGAATCCGACACCTTCTTTGTTGGGGTGGGGCGTTTCTACCTCAGAAACTGTCTTTCCGAACAACTGTTTACCATCGAGACACTCATCTTCCTGGAGAAAAAAAAACCGCTGGACAGCTTGTTCCACTTGAAATTTGCGGACACTATCTGCAACATGCTGTTATTTTTCTGAAAATTGGATTTGCGCACACGGCGTTCCCCGTTTTGGTCGGCACAGACACCCATGCGTCAGGTTCTGCCATGTTCAGCGCCACACCGAATCTCGCCGGTTTGCGCATGGCTTGCTCGGCACTTAGGTGACCCCAGCCTCGCCGCATTAGGCGCTGGCGCGGGATGGCCAATGCACCAGCCAACGTGCCGCAAACAGTGTGGATGCAAAAGAGGCCGAGTCAGGGACAAGAATAGGCTAATAGGCTTCGGCCCCTTTGGGACCCGTGAATGTAGGTTGGTTTCATGTGGGTCTCCTTGCAAGGGGACCAATAACGCAGCTCGTTCGCTTTTGGCTTATGCCTATTCTTGTTGATGATTCTGAGCAAAGAGTTTGGGAATGACCCTTTACCAACAATAAACGAAGATTGTACGACGCCCGGAAGGTTTGTTCCCTTTACCTACCAAGATCAAGCAAGTAAAGGGTGCATTTAATATGTACGAGACATATCTATATATATATATATAGGGAGGGGTATTCTTTGGGATTTGTTTCCTTCTTTTTCCGTTTTCCCCCCCCCCCCCCCGCTTTGGCTTCTTGGCTTCTTGGCTTTTTGGCTTCTTGTTGTTTTATCCGGCTTTTGGTGGCTTTTTGGCTTTGGCTTTTCGCATCCTCTGCATTCCCAGTTCCTCTCCGGTGGCGTTTTGGCTTTTGCGGCTTTTCGCTGGTTATGCGGCTTTTGGTGGCTTTGGCTTTTCGCATCCTCTGCTTTCCCAGCTCCTCTCCGGGCGTTTTGGCTTTTGCACCCTTTCATTGGTTTTGGCTTTGGCTTCCCCGCATCGTACATGGCTAGCATGGAAGTAGGTAGGGCATCTCAAAACCATCTAGAAGGTGCTTGTGATTGCAACGAAAGCATCACTCAGTTCGAAATCTTCTAAATATGTCTCGAAAGGTTTGTTTCCAGAAGAGTGCGTATTTTGGGCAAGCCAAGCGTGCGTTTCGAGACCCACAACTTGACACAGCGGGTGCTCGCCGGACACCCGTGCGCCCTTCGCCTTTGGACTGCGCCATGGCGGTCGCGATGTGCCGGGGCAGTGGCTGGCTCCGGCTCGGTCTGCGGGCCCGACCTGTGACCACGCCGCTTGCCACGGGCGGGCGTGTTTCTTTGTTCGTTCACGGGTGAGGGGACGAGGCGGCGTCAATTCATGAGCAAAAGAGAAGGAAACCGGAATGAGGCTGTGGAAACTGGAGCCTTGTCCCTGGCTCCTCGTTTTGTTTTCTGCAACGGGAGTGTTGACAGATCCTTGGCTGCCCGTTTGGTTGGGTGGTTGGAGGCTCGTTAAGCTGCTTCATTGGGTTGTTTAGACCAATGGATCCGCCACAGTGCGAGAGAGAGAGAGAGAGAGAGAGAGAGAGAGGGAGGGAGGGAGGGAGGGAGGGAGGGAGAAGAGGCGGAGAGAAGAGGCGGCGAGGGCGAGAGAAGGAGAGAGAGAGAAGCTTGCAAGGTTTGACTCTTTTCGCCCAGGACCACAAGTGGGCTATTCTGACAGCCCAGAACCCACCCCATCACTTCTGACTCCTGGCTTCTAGTGCAGAAGCCATGTTTGTCACAGGCGTGTTGCCCTATGGCGATGCTTCGGGTCTTTGGGAGCCGTGCACCTGCCCAAGGTTCCCGCAGGTGAACCCTCGGACCGGGCGCACCTTTCAGACGTACCAGGAGATGCCCCTCGGACGCGGCGTGGAGTTTGGGGTGAAGGTATTGGGGGTGGTTCTTTCCTAGAGCAGACGTGAGGGACAATTCAGAAGGGCATTTTGTCCATTCGGACATGTTGCATGGTTTCTTGGGTGTTGGGAAAAGAAGACTGGATAGTTTTTCTGTTTGTTGAGTAGTGGTGTTTCGCTGCTCAAGAAGCGGGGTAGTAGAAAGGTGGCTCGGAATGGGAATAACTCGGTTTTGGTGGCTTTTGAAGGGAGACCCAAAAACAAAGGTCCAACCCCCCATTTCGAGGCACAGCCAAGTGCGGCTCGTCTCTAATCCGACAAAGCTGGGGCCGGGGTTACTCGCATGACCACATTCAGCTTATGGAAACAGCTGCGGGAGCTTGAGAGCTTGCTCCAGCTTGTTACACGATGCACTCTGTGCTGCTGCAACCACTGCTTCTGCCCCTAGTATCTAATTGACATGGCCAAGGCAAGTGTGGCTGTGTTCTGGATCGAAATTCCATTAGGATGTTTGAGGGGGAGCAACCTTCAAACAGACTTTTCCTAAGAGGTCAATTGGCCATGTGTCAGATTCAGTATCCACCAGCCATTTGGGGGCAGTGCTGTGGGTACTTGGCTTGTCCCTGCTGCTCAGAGTCACACCCTTTGGGCTAGCATTTTAGCGGCGGTGGAGCCTGCAGTCTTTTCATCCGCTGCTTTCGCTGGATCAAAGACATACCTGGAGCCTGAACCAATGCCAAGAGGATTGCAGTCAAAGCTCCTCCCGAGCGCTGTCTCTTAGGAGTGAGAGCGAGGTGGGGCAGATCATTGAGGAGGCGAACGGCGCCTTCCAGGCAGGGTTCCATTTGCCTCCCTCGGACGCGTCAGAAAGTGAAGGCGCCTGGGGCGCTTTGGCATTGCAACTAGGCGGCCAGAGGCTCTTCTAAACCCACCCTGGTTCGCCAATATGTTCAAAGGCTTCCTTGTGGTGGCCCTGACGACAAAACTCAAGATGATGGCGCCAAGTTGAGGACAGCCCCATTGGTCTCGATCGAATTAAGGTGTGACCTGTAGTCTCGGTTGAACATGAGCCTTTGTATCCTTTGTCGCATTGTAACTGTTGTGAGAAACCGGTCGCTTTGCCAGGATCAAACGGATGGCATACACCTCCACATGACCATCACGAAGTGGCTGTACTGAATTCCCAGGTGGCAGTCTTGATTGTCGTTTTGGGAAAGACGGGGGGAGCCACCCAGATTCACCAAAACCAGGTCCTCCAAATTTTCCCAGATTCTATTGAGGAACACACACTGTCCCCAGCCGCGGGTGTTTCCAAGAAACGGGCCCCTTGCGCGAATCGGTGGGTCCTCTTGGTTTCCATTCATCACCATGCAAAAGCGGGGCCCCAGTTTTACGCCACCCCCATGTCAATTGGGGATACAATACGTTACTGTCCACCGCCTACATGTACCCAGTCCCTTTCGTTGCCTTCGATCCTGGCTCTCGTGATTGTGTTAAGTGGGTTGCCAGCAATCCCCCAGGTCGTCCGATGCGAGGTTTTGAGGGAGAAATATCCCTCATTGACAGGGCTAGAAACCCTCATCAACATCTCGAAGGCTTATTCAGCTCCAACCATTTGGGGGCTTTGAACGGACGGATGAAGAAGTCCAACCCCGAGGCCAATCATTTTGGTGACTTTTTGAGGCTGCCTTTTGGGTTGATGACAAAGGAAACCTCAAGGAGTTCGCAAAAATCGCGACACCCGTGTGGCTAGGCCTGGCGCCGCGTCCCGGCGGCGGAGCGCGTGGCGGCGCTCGCGCCCCTGGCGGAAGGTCTGCGGAGCCGAGCGGACGAGGCGCACGGCGCATGGCAAGTCGCGGAGAGTTTGTTGGTGTTCGCGAAGTAAGGACGCAGGGGGTCCGCTTCGAAATCAACTCGGTCTGGGCGACCTTAGGGCCTTTGTTGCCTGGTTGGCTTGGGCGTATGCCTTCAGCGGGGTGTCCAAGCGAAACAGGGGGAGTCCAACATGAAACCCAGCCTTTGGAGGGATCCCGAGTTGGGACACTCGGCTTTTTTTTTGGGGGGGGGGACTTCACCCTTGGGACCTGATGCGCAAAGAGGTATTGGACCTGTTGGGGTGAAGGTTGGGAGGGGTTCTGGCGACCTCGATATTTATTCTTAGCGAGTTGCCTACGAAATAGGAGAACCCGCCCAAAAAGTGGTATGGTTGCTTCCTTAGCTTTCCAAAAGCAAAAGCATCCAAAACAGGGCCTTCTCATTTTGAGCACACCCACTTGTTAGACTCTTGTTTGGACCCCCGCTTGTGGATGATGCAAAATGGGCAGGCCCAAATTGGATGGCTTTGACATGAAAGCAAAGGAAATCAGGGTTCTCACCAACCTCCCTTGTCAGTTGGGCACACCATGAATATCGCCCGTTACTCGTACGGGTTTGTCTCCGAATGGGGAGCCTCCAATATTTTGGGCCGGTTTCAAGTTTCCCTCCCTAGTCTTGCTGGTGCTCAGTAGGAAGTGAACCTAGAGATTCCCTTAAGGGAAACCATATGGGTTGGCTTATAGGGGTCATTCCATCTCTCATGCCCTACCTATCGCACCAGTTTGGGACCCTCCAGCTCCCTGTATCCCTTCGGCCTGGCAAGGCGGCCGAGCTGATGTGCCAGGAGATGGGGAAGCCACCGGCGCAGGGCCGCGCGGAGGTGCTGAAGTGTGCCTACCTGGCGCCTCGGCCCCCCTTCCTCTGGTAGGTACCGTCGTGTTCCCCAGCAGGGCGTCGCCAGTTGCCAGTTGGGTGCAAGTGGGCCATGCAGGGCGTTCTTCCCTGTTTGTGGTGAGGCATGGAGAGGTCACTGAGATGAGGGGTTAATGATTGACCCATGATTTGGCAACGGCTTGTTTCGTCACGAACGTTACCGAGGTGGACTGGTACGCCCAGCACGGGGCCAGCTTCCTGGCAGATACGCCGTACCCGGCCTTGCCGGGCTTTGCCAAGTCCTTCGTCACCTACCAGCCCCTGGGCGCCTGAGATGCAAACCCGTCCTCGCAGAGAGACGTGGCGCCCTAGTTGTTAATGTGGAACGCCAGAATAGACACTCTCAGGCATTTGTTGGGTCTATACTAGGTCCTATCAATTATCCGCCCCAGCGTGGATTGTTTTCTTGGGATGCCAAAGCTCAATGGACCCGCGCACCTCCAATTTTTTACTGGAACCTGGAAAGCAAAGTGTGTTTGTTCAGAGGATGTGGCCAGAGGCTGGCTGTTGTCATAACTCATCATTCGGGAGCCGCAATCTCGGAATTTTGCAATATGACCAGACTTTGCTTGCAGAGAAGATATAAAATTGTTGCCTTTCGGTACCATTTTGTCACGTCCTTTCAACAAGCAACAAGTCCACTTTTGCAGGGGCCGAAGTACCCTAAGGCTTATATGTTGGTAGGTTTCGAATCAACACGCGTTGGTCTAACTGTTGAGTAGTTTTCCTTTGGCAGCGGTGATCTTTCAACAGGGCATGCCATGTTTCATTTGTTGGGCTTCAAAATTGACCGGCCAACAGTTGGCCCTGTTTCGCCCAGCCACTGCAGAGCTGGGCCCAGAGGACTTTAGTTGCCAGCAGGAGGGTGGGTACACCAGTCAGTTGCAACTGCGAAGCGGTGTGTAGCCTTGGATGCTTGCCTCGGCCGGCTGGAGCAGTTTAGATTTCCTTGTGAGTTGACTCTTTGAATTTCGGGTGTTCCCTCCAAGAACATGGTGTCACCTTCCGTCCCTGCGAACGGATCGATGCATTGAGGAACCATCCTGTCCATCATGCCCTGGAACTTTCCGATGTGGCAGGTTGGATACACGTGTGTTATGTTTTCGGGGATGCCGTTGCTTAAAGGGCAACCAAAGGGAAACCACCCATTTTGGGGGGTCCACCGTTTAAGATCAAGCCCACATAGCCAGTCTACAGTATAAACCACTCCGGAATGACATGACATGTTTGGCACACTTTGAACCATTTTGTAGCTCAAGGTCCCAAAAGGCGACCATTTCTCGGTTCCAAGTACTTTGTTTGCAAATCAAGGTCCATTATCAGATGGTGTAAAGGGGGCCACACTCATGGCATGATCGTTGGTCAAATAGGGTTTGGTCGGTGCGTTAATTGTCACCCACCCGCAACGGGGATGACGTAGGGATCACTCACCGGATGACCACGCACATGGGTTTTCTCGCCAAGTAAGTTGGAGGTGCCACGGCCAAGAAGTTTGACCTGTTGGCATCAACGTTGTGTTTTTATATTTCGTCAGTGCAACCCCAACGTTTCAAGCTGTCAGCGAGGAGATTCGATCTCCTTGCTGTTGTGTGGTTACATGGAGCAGCCCAACCAACAGGTTCTCATCCATTCTCCCCATGCATGGTTAAGACCTGGTTGCCTTTGTTTTCTTCAGTCTTTTGCTTACAGCCATCCTTGCCCTTTTGGCTCATTTTAGTCTTTCCAAAAGTTGGTGCTACGAAGGGGATTTCAAGGCTCGAGCCGCTTTGGCTTGACGGGTTCAATGGGATCCGTCCAGTTGGCAGGTGATCAGGATGGGGGTCCCCACCCTGATGGCGGGCAATGCGGTGCTGCTGAAGCACGCACCCAACTGCTTCGGCAGCCCCTGGGTGAAGTTGGGCGAAGGGCGAAGGAGCGAATTTCGGCGGAACAGGGCCAACTATTGGTCTAATCATTTTTGGACGCCTGTGGTTCAAACGTCCCCAGAGTGGTTTCCCTCACTTGCCCCACTATCCTTTGCCTACTTTCCGATCCATGCTTGGCTGGCAGGGGGGTCGGTCGTTCAATTTTATGTCCTTCTAAGAACAAGAAAGCTCCAGCAACAAATTGTTGGGTAGCCTGAGGGTTCCGTGGAAGCTATCTAGAATTGGGAAGGACGGGCTACTCACACAAATTCCACATAAAGAACCACGGACGACGGACACGCCCAAATGTGTCATCCACGTCTTCTTGAGACACAGAATATTGCGCCTGACTCCCAGAAGTCGCGCGTTGAACAACTAAGGCGCCTTGCTTTGCGAGGAGCTGCTGAAGACAGTCAACGTGCCACAGGGGCTGTTCCGCTCTTTGATCGTAGACGTGCCGCAGACAAACAAGATCCTGGAGCATCCACTTGTGCAAGGCACGGCTTGAAAACACCAAAACTAGCAGGAAAACCGCACAGGCTTGGCTCCCTTTTTCCATCTTTGTTGGGGCGGGGAAGATGATGCGAGGTGTTTGCTACATCCACATAATCAAACATACTTCACATCAGCCAACTCACTGGGGCAGACGGATGTAGGCCAATTCCACTGCATTGGCGAGGAGGATACACAAAGCTGCAAACACTGGCACAGCGTCAAAGTCTGCGGAACGAGCACGTATTCATCGAACTCACAAACAATATCATGCAATGCATAATATATTATACCATATCAGATCTTGTAGGAGGGTTTGGATGGCGAACTGTTTTCTCGATCGACTCTCGCGGAAAGCCACGCGCCCCGTTTCGCTGTGCGTTGCCAGGGGTGGCTTTGACGGGCTCGGAGATGGCGGGCCGGGCGGTGGCGGCGAAGGCGGGATCGCTGCTGAAGAAAGCGGTGGTGGAGCTCGGGGGCAGCGATGCCTATGCTGTGCTCAAGGACTCGCGTTTTTTCGTTGGAGGAGACTATCTAAGATCCACATAGCTTTTACTGATTCTGTTCTTTTGCTCCTTTGCCCTTTTGCTACCCGCAGGGTTGTCAAACATAGGATGCCTTTCTGGGATTTGGGGTATGCTGGCCGGCCGGGATCCCACAAGGTGTCTCTAGTTGCTCGTAGATTTCACCATCAGACCCTTTCCCATGTTCCAATTGGTCAGCGCACCGGTCAATTTCTTTGCTGGGGCTCCTTTGGCCTCGAGTGTTGGGTCCCGACCAGAAGCACAGTGAAGCCAACTCGCCTGACCGGAGAAAGAGAGAGAGAGAGACAACGAAATAGAGATAGAGAGATATCAAGAGAGAGATAGAGAGCCAGAGAGAGAAAGAGAGAGAGAAGCAAAAAGAGAGAGGCACAGAGAGAGAGAGAGAGAGAGAGAGAACGAGAGAGAGAGAGAAGAGCAAGACACGGCAAATTGCCAGTTGAGTAAAGGAATTCAACAGATATAGAGTGACACACCACACAATTGCTGCACGTCTTGTCAGCAAGCACCCACTGAGATGCTTCCCTACAGATATGCCTGTCAAAATGCTGAGCTCATTTGTCGGCGAATATGAAGGAGTTCCACCTGAAAGGAGACAGTTTGGGAGGTTCAAATTGGAGACCAGATGTGCATGCAAACCTTCATCCCTCGCCAGCGAGGGTTAGACCCCAAAGGTTTCATCGGTCCATCCCCTGGTCCCCTGGCGGCCCCCCCGGTCTCTCGAGGACGCGGATTTGGACGCGGCGGCCGAGGCGGTGGTGACGGCGCGGGTGGTGAACAGCGGCCAGGTCTGCATCGCGCCGAAGCGCGCCATCGTGGAGAGGACGCTTCGCCGTGCCGCGGTTTGGTTCGCTCAGGGCAGTGAGGCAGTGGCCAATACAACCTGGAAAACCATTGGTCGATAAGGAAAAGACCCAATTGCGCGGGGTTGATAGGGATGGTCATACACACGCTCGCTGTTTGGGGCACAATGAACATTGACCACGGCTCATGTGTGCCATAGTCAGAACACTCTTTTTTTGAGGGAAGAAGGTATGGTCGTCAAATGATGGGGGGGGGGTTCAGCCAGCCACCATGACCATGGCCAGATATGGCACATGTGGCCCCCCACGCCTTGTGAGAGAGGAGTGTGAAGAAAGCCTTCGAGGAGAAGGTGCTGTCGAAGGCGGATTTTGACGAAAGGAGAGGAAGGCCAGCCCCCATGTTCACAAACCCTGGGAAGCAGGGATATTGTACACTTCCACCCCGCTCACGCATGAGAGGGAGTTAAGCGTGGCCTGCCATCCCCTTAGTTGTCTTGTTGGTTTGCTGAAACCTTCCAACCGGCTAGCCTTGCGATCGATGGTTGATGGCCCGCTCCCCCGCCCGCACGCCCATGGTTTTGGGCTCCACCCTGGTGTCGTCACATGTCGTTCACCATGGCTCTGACCACCATGGCCTCAGGTGGCCGCAAAGAAGTACGGGACGGATTTCGGGCCTTTGGTCCACGCCAAGGGACGAGACGACGTGGCGCGCCAGGTGGGTATGCGTCAAAACCAGGGAAGCTTCCAAGCCGATAGATTTATGTCGGTTGTTTGATTGCATTGGGTATTCAATTCTTTGGTTGGCTGGGTGGTGCAAATGTTTGATTTCAGTTTGGTGTCCTGCTTTAGAAGTGCCCCCCCTCCCCCCCAAAACGGCCCGAGCTTTGACACACAGTCAGGTGCGGGAGAGCCAGGCCCAGGGTGCCAAGTTGCTCTTCGGCGGTGACAGCGCTGCACTGCCAGAAGAGGATTGCACAGAGGCCGAGAGGGCCAGGGGATGGATGGTTTTAGGCTTAACGGTTTATCCAGACAGGCTAAAGTGAGACACTTGCATCGTGTACCTTTGAATTGAGCTGCCCCCAAATCATGTCAGGCCATTGGTCCTGACAAGTGGTGTGGCGTTGGCCTCGGGCACTCGTCGCGGGGGCAGGCCTTCTACCCTCCGACGGTGCTCACGGACGTGAAGCCCGGGATGACGGCCTTCGACGGCGAGATCTTCGGGCCGGTGATCGCCATCGTCGAGGCGCGGCTCGCTGACTTCCCCTTTCGAAGGTCAAGGCCGTCCTGTTTGGCCAGGAGGTTTTGGGCGGAAAAGGTCTGGAGTTGGAGTTCAGATGAATTGGGGTTGAGGTCGGACAAGGTTGCCCTCAGCTACTGGGAATTCACCGCAAATGATGCTAGGCTCCCGTGACAAATACCTAAGGGCCACCTGGCAGGAAATCTCACCCTGTATATCTGTGGATTGGCAATGAGCTCCGAGCAAAGAAAAAGAAGAAGCGGAGACTGAAAGAGCCTCCACATACTCTAAACAGGCATTGAGTCAAGCTGCGTCGCATTCCCAAATCCGCTGATGTCAGGTTCTTGGACCCTTACAAAGTTATTCTCAAAGCAGATGGCCTAAGGTCCCCTACACACTTGCCTCCGGGTAAAGGTGGGAGATGGCGAGGCACTCATGTTGAAGTCCTATTTTTTTCCAAGTGGGTTGTAAGATTATGTGGATGTGTTGATACAAACTTGCTTGTGAGGCAGGCATGTTGGCCAAGCCTAGGTGCGGGTATTGGTCACCGTCAGGCTTCTTTTGCCTGATCATAGGCAGCCTGTGCCCCTGAAAGGAAAGTGCTCGTTTTGGGATGGAGGTGCATAACCCTCCTTTAGAAGACTTGAATTGGATTCGCCCGGGTTTGTTGCAGGCTGAAGACGAGGAGCACGCACTGAAGCTCGCCAACCAGTCGCACTACGGGCTGGCGGCCGCAGTCTTCACCAGCGACCTGGAGAAGGCCGGCCTTGGGAAGACTGCCTCGGAAAACTCCTATTGGATGCTTTTCATTGCGGGAACTGACCATTGGGGTCCTCCATTGTAGGACGCCCCCACATGTTTGAATCATCAGGGTTGCGCTAGCAACGGGGGAAAATGAGCTTACCCCCTATCCAAATAGTTCTGAGTTCAGATGGCCTCCTTGAGGGACCCTGACGTTGCTTCTGTCGCCTTGCAGGGGGCCGGGCCTCAAAACTCTTTGTCACCCAGATGCTTCAAATTGCAGTTTACGCGATTCGTGCCCAGATGAGCGGGGCCAACCCCCTGTTTAAACTTTGGCTTAAACTTGGTCAGCACTGTTTCATGACAGATGCAAGTTTGAACTTGGAGAGGCACATGGCACATCTCCTGCAAGCGAACGCAGAAACGCGTAACTTCCCAAACATACAGATACGACAGCTTTCAAGCTTACAAGCTTACAAGCTTACAAGCCTACAAGCACGGAGATCCGCACAAAGAAAGCAAGTTGCGCATTGCAGGCAACAGGCATGAATGCCGCTTGCCAGGGGGAGCGCTGGGCGGTGAAGGACCGGCCGCCAACCATGCCTATGCCGCCGTTTCTTCCCCCGGCGTGTCCTTTTTTCGGGCACGGAGTTTGGTTGTTTCAGCCGGACACCAAGGGAAGCCGCTGGCTTCACGTTCCATTTTGAATCAATCTTGAGAACCCTGAAGTAGTTTTGCTCAGCTGGTTCCACGTTCCATTTTGGAGCAGTTTTGAAAACAAAGTTTCGAGGAGCTGGACGCTGGCATGTGCTTCGTGAATGACTTCGTGCGCAGCGACCCCTCGCTGCCCTTTGGCGGGGTCAAGGCCTCCGGCCTGGGCCGGGAGTGCGCGGCCTTCGGCATGCAGGAGTTTGTGAACGTGAAGACCATCTGCGTCAAGTGAAGCGAATCAATCCGTCGCGCCCCAAAGGGAATGGCCCCGTTGGTCCGGTGGAACAGTGGCAGGTGACATCCATCCCACCCCATCGAGAATTCCCCCGTTGGTTCGGTGGATTTGACATTTGCACAGTTGCCTGGCCATCCAAAGTTCACGCTGGGTGCTTGAGGTGGTAGTTATCACGAGGGCGAACACATATTCTGTGACAAGGTGGGGTGAAGTCAGGCGACAGCGCAATGGTTTATGATAGCCGCATGTCAAGCAAGGGCATGGCTGAGTTTATTAGTCAGGTTTAGAACTGCTGTCTGAAGAGGCAGTTTGTTCCAGTGAGACCAAGAGTCGTTGTAAAGCTCGATTGGTTCTTTTGCCTGGCATTGTTCCATGTCTGCCCAGTGGTACAGCTTTGCAATCCTGCCCCGCAATGCCCAAAGGGCATCTGGGCTTCTGGAATGGGCGAACTTGCGATGCAGCCAGGAGGGTCCAGAGCAGATGGATGCACAAAACTGTTTTGAGACCGCTGCTCGGTGTGCGTGTGTGTGGTGTTTTACACCTGGCCTGTGACACCCTGCACTTTGCCAAACATAGTGCTGTGAAGTCAGATGAGCTCAGTTTGATATTAGAATCTGACTCAGATGCTTCTTCGGGAAAGATTCTGTCATGCCGAGAACTCATACCCGCCTTTCAACGTTTGTTTTCAACGTGTTTTTTGCGGCAGACTTTGGCAAGACAAGCTCCAACGTGCCGTGGCTTGAGGGGATAACTGAATTCAGGCAATGCACAAACCACAAGCAGCTGGGTGTTTAAGCTAGGTGAAGCCAATTCCTCCAAGATCCCGAAGTCCTTAGGCAGAGATGTCTTCAAGCTGCACCTACTGCACCTGATTGGAGTAGGACACATGTTCCTCACGCTCGAGCAATGGTGCCAGCGGTGCCAGCTGGCAACCAGACACTGCACTGACGTTGCGTGCAGATAGCCACGAGCTGAAGCAGCGTGGTTAACCGCCACTGCACTCGCCATGCTCAAAGATGGGCCCGTGGTCTTCGAGTTCTTGACCGGCGCACGGAGTCTGGCCGCCTTGTGGATTCTTTGCGCCCACTACATGCCCAAACAGGAGTCGGGGACCAGTGTTTAGCCCATGAACACCCAGTTTGAACAACGACGAAATGCAGACTTCAAGCGGCAAACGTTGAGGACCCCTTGAGGCGGCAATGGTTTGTTGCCCGAACTGGCAAACCAGCAACTAATGGTCAATGGCTTCACCGTTCTGGTATCCAACTGAGAGTCCACAGTTGAAACGAGTTTGAAATGCACGGGTTGGTGGTTCTTTCCCAGCATTCATCTCCATATGAGCCACAATGAAAACCCGGGTAGATGAAGCTTAGTAAAGGACGATCCCAACCATAAATAGCTGCGGCCGCCTTCTTAATTCCTTGCGTGGTTCTGGGTAGACCATTTTAGTACCAGGTTTTCATTGTCACTCATACACACGCAGGAGTCGAAGTCCATTTACAATGGGTGATCCCTGACAACCCCTTCGTTAAGTTATCCCTGGACGCAACAACTGGAACCGCAGGGAAATCCACCAGCTCCGGCGGAGCTCCATAAGAGTTACATGGGTCCAAAGAATCGCTTGAGCGATGGACGGCCGTAGCTTGGCTGTTGCAGACTATTGGGATCGCTCGACTTGCTGCTTCCTGTAATAATATCCTCTGTGCGATGGTCGACGGGAACGAGGGTGAAGAACTCCATCCCATAATAAGAACAGTTTCCTGCGTTGTGAAACACCCTCGAAGGAGTTGAACACAAATGATCTCCCTTGCCTTGCGGGTGCCGCGACTCGAAGCCAAAAGGTCGAAAGGTCGATTCGTTTCAGGTCACTGACAGTGAGTGTCTTAACAAGGGTTTCCGACATGATTTGCACTCCTGTTTTCTAGGTACCCAAGGAGCTATCTTCGAAGCCGCTTATAAGTAGACTGGGAATTAACTACCACAATAGGCGCTTACAATTGGCTTACCACCCTCTTCTTAGGTGCAAAGGGAGGCCCTTCCACAAGTGGGTTGTTTGGTCCCAAGGGTTTCCTTTGTTCGCCTTTATAAATTGCCCCTGATAGGGTACCCTACAAGAAAACCGTTATGTTTTGGAGGGGAACCTCCGTTTGGTTGCGAAGGAAGCCAGCCATTTTGCAGGTTCCCCACTTGGAGACATGTGCATTTTGGCTAGTGGGCAGCTCCCTCAAGGGTTGCCGGGCACCAATCCCATAAGTCGTATCCTCCGACAGCAGACAGAAGGGAAGACAGTCCTTTTGAAAGGCCTGCTGTTCACTTCCAATCCAGTTTAATGAAATGGGAATCGTCAAACTAGACTTCCCATTGGCCTTCCTTCAAACCACGCCCCACTCCCAGTTGTTTCTCAACATGCTGGACCCCTTTTGGTTGGTATTGAACGGGGGCCGAAGGACACCAAACACGTTGGGGCCCCACTATTTCGAGAGGACTTCACTAAAAAGCGGTGGTTTACTATAGGGGACTACCATTTCATTTAGGAGACTACTATTTAGTAGGGGTCCTCCACCACGTAAAAGGAGCACTACTCCTTCAATGGCGCGCTCTATCGCGTGAATGTCGCGGTAAACTTCTTTGTGGTCGCCAGCGGCTTCGTGACGCATCTGTCGGGCTGCAAGGCGGACGTCAGCACCTGGGGGGGCCTCATGCACCTCGGTTTGGTCAATGGCTATGTGTCTTTTTTGGGTACCCCACAAGGGGTGGTTTTCAAGGGAAACCCACGGAAAGCCCAACTCCCAGACACGGTTTTTTGGATGGTTTTAAAGGGGAGCACACATGAGCTCAATCATTTTGGCGTGCACCAGGCATTGATGCACACCCTTGCAGTGTGTGTGTGTGTATTATATCTATATCTATGTGTATGGCCCCCCCCCCCCCTGAAATGTCTACCTTTCGTTCTGCCTACATTGCCATGAGAGGGATTTGACCATATACATTTACTTACTTACTTACTTGCTTGCTTACTTACTTACTTAGTTTTATTATACTGTTCATTTATTGGTGTGTTTATTCCGTTACTTGCTATCTACTTTGTCTGTTTTGTTTTTTTTGTTTGTGTTTGTTGGTTTATTTATTTATGTATTTCTTCACTTACGTATTCATTTCTCTCTTGCTTTATCTATTTTTTCTTTATGTTTTGTTAATGTTGAAACGCATGTGGAAACATGAACTGTGTGTGGAATGCTTGACCATAATGGCATGTGCCATTTTGGCTCAAGCATTGCTCTGGGTTCCTGGAACCCAAGCTGATTGAAAAACTTTGATCTTTTGCATTTTCGAACTTAACCCCGACCAAGCAATGGCTTCCTCGGCAACCTCGGCAACTTCCTTTGAGTTGATTGAGGACCAGACACTCACCGTGGAGGAGGTTGAAATGGCCAGCCAGGAGGCCCAGGACATTCGCACACGGGAGGCGGCAGTGGCGGCCGGCTTGGTTTTGGACGAGCCCGAGGCCCCCCCGTCAGCTTCGGCGACCGATGTGATGAATGACCTCTCCAGTGCACTGGAGCGTCTCCAAGTGGCATTTGCCACACCGACTCCCGGCTTGGGTGCCCCTGGCCCCGCCGAGGAGGGCGACAGGGACATGGGGGATGCGGACGGCACGGAGCGGGCCACACCACCGGAGGAGGCGCAGACGCCACCCACGAAGAGACTGAAGGGCTTTGTGGCGGCTTCTCAGAAGGCTACGTCTCAGGCCAACAAACCTGTCACCTTGGTGCCGGTGGACGGAAAACCTGGGTACTTCAAGCTGGTGGACCTCCCGGACTTGTTTCCAGTCCTTCCAGCGTCGGCGGCCACCTTGCTGAGAGACATCACGGTGGAGGAGGCGGTCTCCCTGTTTTACAAGCTTGTTGGGAAGAACCTCACGGAGGACCTGGTGATCCGCATCTTGGAGGCGTACGTCCCGATGAAGATCCAGCTCCGCCAGGAGGAGGTCTGGGCTTCGCAGTTCCAGAGGAACAAGGCGTGTATCGGCACCCAGCGCATGTACAGGCTCGACGCAGGTCATTCCGACTACAAGTTCATGTGCAAGGCATGCGGAACGGGGTGGCCAGAGGCAGCCAAGCAGTGCTGGGTCTGCCCCGGCAAGGAGTCCGCCCCCTTCCAGGCACCCTCGGCCACCTATGAGGCGGACGGCATCACCTACAACCTGCTCATCTTGGAGGGCAAGCCAATCTGGATCCAGCAGCGGGAATGGGGAAGCCTGGGTGCCGTTGGCCCCGGTGGTACCCTGGCACAGGCCGACCGCAACTTGGTGGACGGCACGGTCTTGGGGAGAGCCCCTCCAAAAACGGACTCGGCTGATGAGATCACCATGGCAGATGCGGTCCCGCTTAACATGCGGGTGGACATCCGGCAGGAGATCCTGTCCATGGAGGCGGATGACGAGGCGATGAAGGTCCGGGAAAGCCAGGAGATCCGGGTCAAAGTGCAGCGGTCCCTGAAAGAGGCGGAGGCTCAGAGCTTCGAGCTCTACCATCCCCAGGTGGACCAGGCGATCAGGAAGCTGCATAAGGCCTTGCGGGAGCAGCGGGAGCCGACTCCGGTCGGCCAGGCGGCTGCACAAGGAGTTGGTCACTGAGGAGATGCTGGACAACGAGATGGCGATCCTGGCGCCCCTCCAGGAGGGCATGCAGGCCCTGCCGTCAGATGAGGTGGCCAACGAGCTCAGGAAGGTCAACCTGGAGCGTTTCAAGGCCAAGCTGAGAGACCAGTAGCCAGCCAGGCATTGGCTGAGGCGATGGGCTCCATTCAGGAGGCCCAGGCGGCAAACAAGCGAATCCAGGACACCAAGCACACTCTCAAGCCCTTGGAAGTGTCGGCGTGATCTCAGGAAGGCCCTGGAGAGGGGCCTATTCTGCCCCCTGGAGACCCCGACGACATCCCCCCGGTGGGGGACATCAAGGAAAAGTATGTCCCCTACATCAAGATGCTCAGAGCGTTGCAGAACCCGTGGCAGCAGGAGGCACTGCTGGAGGAGATGCCCGAGTGCCCGAGCTGGAGGCACCGGCCCCCCCCCAAGCGTGCCACCGGCTCTGGGGGGGACCACATGTCCCAGCAGGACCTGGACTCTGAGGACGGCAAGCTGTCCCTTATCCTCTGGGCAATGAAGCGGCACCAGGGAGAGCTCCGGATGTTTGGGGGGGTTTGGAGGAAGCACGCAAGCGGTGAGATCCCCCGGGGCGCTGACCAGCAGTTTAAGCTCGCGCCGGAGGAGCTCCTGGCCCTTGAGCGCAGGACTCACCCATGCACGTGCGAGCAGGACCACATCGACCCAGTCATCTACACGGCCTTGGAGATCCGGGCTCAGGTGAACCGGGGTGAGCGCCCGGCACCTGAGCAGGTGGTTGGTATCTTCTGGGCGAGGGGTGATGGGGTGTTTTGGACCACGCCCACAGGTTCACATTTAAGTATATCTACTCGGCCTGGACCACCTTCCCGTTGATTGTGAAGACGCAACGCCGGGGCCGCAATGCGGAGGGCTCGACCTCGGACAAGTGGATGGGCAACATTATCCAGATGAGGAAGGAGGCGGTGCCCTTCCTGGAGAGCCTGGGCATCCCCAAGGAGGAGTGGAGTTACATCTTCAAGGAGATGGGGACATTCTTGGCGGCAAAGAATTTCATCGTGAACTGCCCGTTGCCCGTGATGGAGATGCCGGTGGCCCCCCATCCATGACAGTAAGGAGGCGCTGCGGTTCAGTGCAATTTGCGACGAACGGATCACCCTCCCGCTGGCCTCGCTGAAGGCCTTCGACTCGGTCTACACCAAGTTGGTGGCGGGCCTGAGCAAGTCGTCGATGGTGGAGGTGAAGGTCAATTGGCGCTGCAATGTGGTCCACGACTGGGTTGAGCAGGTTTCGCAGGGGGCCTTGTATGACAGGTTGGGCTACTCCCAGGACCTCATCCGGCAGCTGGGTTGCTCCCCCCCGCTTGGGTGCCGTTGGCCCCGGGGGAGGAGCGGCCAAGGAGGCGGACCCAAAGGCCAAGGTCCTGGAGGGGGCAGACACCACGCCCCGCACCCCAGACCAGGGCACCAGGCGGTACCCGCCCATCACCACGACCACGGGCCAAAAGTACGTCAACAAGCACTTCTCCAAGGAGGCGAAGCATGTGTTTTGGGGCTCCGTGGAGTGTGGCTTGGTCTTGCCAAGCATCAGTGCCTGGGAAGTGGTGAGCAAGGAAAAGTTCAAGACCACGGGGGGCTATATGTGCAGATTTTGCAAGGGCTTTTGGAAGGCGAGCCGCGGGGGGACCAGGCTGCTCCAGATCACGGGGTGGCACAGGGATAAGGCCACCTGCTTGCAGGCGGTGATGGACGAGCCCCCGGAGCAGCTGTACAATCAGTGGATCCGCGATCGGATGGAGTTCTACAAGAGGGTGGAGCCAACGGAGCCTCCCAGGGATGAGCGGGTCCTGGGCGACGCGAGCACCCCCCGCATGCGCTTCAGCTCCTCGAACGGCCTGGGGGATGTCTCCACGGCCTTGTGGTCGGTCATCCTGAGCAACCCGGAGAAGTCGGGGCTGGCGGCAATCCACTTGGTGGCGAAGGAGGCGATCTGAAGGGAGGGAGCCGCCGTTGTGGAGATTTGGGGCCAGGTAGCGCAGAAGGTCCCCAACCTGAACCTCGGGCCAGGCAGGGAACGCAGGGAGGACTTGAACCACCCGGACTGGGCGGACCCGCTCCCGCCGCCAGCACTGGAAATCACGGATGCGGGACCGGACGGCCACAAGAACCAAACTCAAGGGGAGGCGTCCCCCACAGTACCCTCAGGGAGCGCACCATCGACTCGCTCATGGTCATTGGTGGAACAGGGACCCGAGGACACACCAGTGAAGGCCAAGGACCTGTTTCCCACCACCCCGGACTTCCCCCTTCGTGTTGTTGCGGCAGTCAAACGCACAGGCAACGCCGGCCAGGCCAGAATCCACCTGCTGAATGACGAAGGCACGGCTGTGGGGTGCGGGTGGCGACCGGCCTCCAAGATCCAGGAGCTCTCCGTGCTGGACTACATGTCGGAGCCAGAGGCCTATGGCAAGTGCGAACGCTGCTTCAAGAGGTACGGCTTCCCGGCGGACTGGGTACTGGAGCCTGCGGAGGTCCCCACACTGCAGGAGGACTCGGACTCCTCGGCGGACTCGGGCTCTGAAACGGTGGACACCCAGTCGGAGACCGAGGTGGTGGCCCCTGGCATCCTTCGGAAATGGCGGGTGTGCCAGACTGTCCTTCGGAAATGGCGCTATCAGTCTGCACACCCGTTCTTCAGTTTTTGAGAGTTTGTGGTGGGTGGCCCATGGGGCCCACCCAGCCGTAGACATCTGACAGGGGAAGATGAGTCCCTGGCACCAACACATTGCTTGGATAAAAGAGTTATCGCTTGCTTGTGTGGTGCCGTTTGGTTAGCTTACATACACTTTGTTAATGTTGAAACGCATGTGGAAACATGAACTGTGTGTGGAATGCTTGACCATAATGGCATGTGCCATTTTGGCTCAAGCATTGCTCTGGGTTCCTGGAACCCAAGCTGATTGAAAACACCAAGGTAAGAGGTCATGGCTGCGGCGCCCGCCAAACCACCGGAGGAGGTCCCAGCCGCGATCAAGGAAGACGTGGCGAAGTTGCAGAAGCCACTGGCGGCCATCTTGG